AGAGGAGATCAGAAAGGGTTTGCTATGTTTAAACATCCTGCAGGAGCTGTACAACATGAGGAGAGCTCTTGGTTCAGTCAGTGATAAATACCCAAAGCAGTAAGCAATGAAAAAACAAAAGACTGTTATTAATAACAGGAAAAACAAATATTGGTAAGGAAATGCAAAGCAATTCTAGTAGATAAATTGATTCAGCTGTGAGTAGTATTTACAGAGTCAAAATAATGCAGAGCAGGCATACTGATCTCCCTAAAACTATATTCAGAGAAAGGTAGCTTTGGCACCTCTCGATGATATTTTTAGTCACTTCATATACCTGTTCTTCTGTTATCCATAGTGTTTTAGAAAGCCTATAATTTCAGGAGTGTATGGCCAGTCCTGCGTCTTAGTCTGGAAGCTTTGTCTTACACACTTCCAGTATGTTGTCAGAAGGGGTCAATCCTTGGAAAAGGATATCGTGTTGGAAAAGGTTGAGGGTCAGAGAATGAGAAGAAAACTTTCAATGAGATGATTGGCACTACATCAGTGGGCAAGAGCATGACAGAGATCGCGACGATGGTGCAGGACAGAGTCAGGTTCAGATCTGTTGTTCATAAGGATCTGACTCATAGTCAGCCAGGCAGCACCTAATGGCAACAAAGTGTTTGTGAAAATTGAACAGTGAATAAGGAAAGATAAAGAAGAATTGATATCTTTAAATCATGTTGTTGGTAAAACATATTGCATATGCCCCTGGACTGTCAAAAGAACAAACAAATCTGTCTTGGATGAAAAGCAGCAAAAATATTCCTTAGCAACCAAATGGAGAGACTTTTGTCTCACGTACTTTGGGCATGTTATCCTAGAGGGGCCAGTTCCTGGAGAAAGTATCTTAACTTGTTAATGTAGTTATTGTTATGTACCACAGAGTCAGAATCGACCCATACCTGACCCTCCAGCAGGCTTTCAGAAGCAGTAAATCACATGGGAGGAGATTGTCCATCTTTCTCCAACAGAGCAGCTGGTAGATTTGAACTGTATGCACACACAATAAATACTTTTCACACAAGCAGTCAGGAAATCAAAAGACAAATTGCACTGCAAAAATCTGTTGTCAGGGACCTCTCCAGTATACTGAAAAGCAATAATGTCAGTCTTGAGACTAAGGTGCACCTGATCCAGGCCATGGTCTTCACAATTACTTGCTATGTATATATAAGAGAGCTGGACAATAACTGAGGATGACAGAAGAATTTCTTTGAGTTGTAGTGCTGGAGAAGAAGAGTCTTGAACATACTGTGGGCCACCAAGAAAACAAATATGTCTGTCTTGGAGAGGATGAAACCAAGTTTCTCCTTGGAGGTTAAGATTTTTGGAGCTCTGTCTCACATACTTAGGACATGTGGCCAGGAGGGATTGGTCCTTGGAGAAGGACATCATGCTTGGATGGGTGGAGACCATGCTTGGATGTATGGAGGGACAGCAAAGAAGAAGATGACCCCGGATGAGATGGATTGACACAGTAATTGGGGCAATGATGATTAAGTGTGTCAGAGTCAGTGAGACCAGCTCAGGATAGGGCAGATTTCAGAGCTGCTGTACATTATTGGGTCACTATGAGTCACAGGCAAGTCGACGGCACGTAAAAACAACAACACCATGCCTTGAGGTTGCCAGTGCAACTCCTTAACAAGAGCTCCAGTGAAAAGAGAAAGACCTTCAATGAGATGAATTGGTAAAATGACTGCAATAGTGCATTTAAACACAACAGAGAGGGTTAGAATGGCACAGGATCTGGCAGGATTTCATTGTGTGGTACATGGGGTTACTGTGAGAACCAAATCAATGGCACCTAGCAACAGTAATGGTGAGAGAATATAAGTATGGGTGTATAGGTGAGGCTGTGGGTTGAAAGGGAGTTCAATCCTCCTATTCCATAGTATGAAGTCAATAAATTCTAGAGAAATTTGAAAAGTCAATAAGCAGCATTGCAAGCATCTTATTTAGAGAAATGGAAGTAGAATAATCAAAGAATTCGTTTAAAGGTTCTTCTGGGAAGTGAGGGAGTAATTGGAGTCCCTTTTTTATAATGAGCCTTCTAGAACTAGTTGGCCCTTTAATGGTTGTATATTTAAAACTTTCATTTAAAAAAACCAAAGTTGAATTTTAAAAAATTGATGTAAAGACTTGGAATGGCCTTGGCAGCTAAAGACAACGATTAGAGCGTATTTTATTTGAAGAGATCCTCATTATTCCCAGCCTTTCAGCAAGAACTAGGAGACAGCTTTCAGTTTAAGATTAAAAAATTCTTTCTGACCTTGTCACCTACCATATGCTGGGATGCCTTGGGAAGTAATGAACTCCTGTCACTGTAAATATCTAAGTAGAGACGGTCTGACCAGCTCTCCAAATGTGGCAAGATATTTTTACTATCCTGAAGTTGAGCCAGGAGACATCTAAGGTACTTTCCTATTTTAAACGTGGCATTTCAGGGATGGATAGTTGGTAAGATTATGTTACAGAAAGTATAACAGTAAAGAGGCTGACTACCCACTGACATCCAATCAATTCCAACTTAGAGCGATCCTGGAACTAACTGCCCTTTAGAGTTTCCAAGGCTGTCAGTCTGTATGGGTGCAGTCAGTGTCAGCATTCTCCTGTGGAGTGAATAGCGCATCCCAGTTGCTGACTTTTTAATTAGCCCAGCATTTAATCCGTTGTACCACCAGGGCTCCTTGAAAAGAGGCCAAGAGCTTTCAGACTCACTGCCTGCCTTCTTCCTCCCAGACACCATTCTGAGCCACTGTTTGCCTGACATTCATGACCCAGTCAGTAAAGCTACTGCCACAGGAAAGTGACCATTTCTCATTCCTGATGACACACATGCCCCAGTTCTTCCTCATCAATGTGGTCTACGCCCGGATCAGTGGACCTGGAGAACTGATGTGGTCCTTGAAACTCTGGTCTAGCCCAGACATGTTCCTTTCTGAAGTCTCTGAGGACTCTGGGTTGTCCTCAGATGTAGATGCCCTCTGAAAACCTGCCAGAGGGTCAGCTGTGGGTCAGTTCCAACTCGATGGTATACAACAACAACTAGCCTAAGTACCTCATGGCATAGTTATATACTTGGCTTCCAACTGGAGGTTGGCGGTTCAAAATGACTAGTTACTCTGAGGGAGAAAGATGTAGCAGTGTACTGCCATAAAGATCTACAGCCTTGGAAACCCTATGGGACAGTTCTGCTCTGTCCACAGGATCATTATAGTTTCTCAGAGTCAAACTCGACTTAACAGGTTCAGGTTGATTCCAGCCCATGGTAATCCCATATTTGTCAGACAGACTAGATGGTACTCCATAGGGATTCAGTGGCGTAAATGACAAAGTACCCCCTCTCCCTTTTTACTGTGGTAACTCTTAGATTTAAACTACAAACCTTCTAGTTACTAACTGGCTCATCTATGTGAGTCATCTAAGTCATGTATGTGGAGATTTCCACATATACCTCTAATGAACTAAGTAAATCTCTGAGTGGTCCTGTAAGACCAGCTCTGAGCCAAAAGTGAGTCAGTCTAGAAAAGCCTCAGCTACAGTGAGTCACCTAAACAAACTTGTCATCACTTTCTCCTCATCCCTTAATCCTTCCTCTCTGTTTAATTATACTTGGTCTGCCTTTCCAGAACCATGCCAGCACTATTTATCACCCAGTTTCCCTTCTTCAAATCACACCTCCCCGCCCCAGCACTTTTTAATTAAATTTTAGAACTCAGAAATAATAGAAATGCAAGGCATAAGGAATGCAGGGAGCAGTTTCTTCCATTTTAGCCATCTCTTCTTTTCATGGTGACTTTTTTGGGGGGTGGAGGGAGTTGTTTTGGGGTTTTTTTGTTGTTGTTGTTTTTATTTTACATTGGTTTGCATACAAAGTTCATATCCATTGTGTTTCACACCATCCTTCATTCACATTGCGTTTCATGCAGTCATTCTTATTCATTAGGTTTTATAAAATCAGTCACCATTAAACAGTACCCTTTATTACCCTGTCTTTTCAGATCACTGGATCTTTCTCATTTTCTTTATCCCTCCCCTCCATCCACTAGATTGTGGGACTCTGTGATTTCCACCCTGCCCACCCTCACCTCTCAATTCCCACCATTTTCCCCCTTGGATTTCCATGCACATTTTATTAGATATCCTGTTTTAACCATAATGATCCTATGCAATATTTATCATAAGACTTAGTTCACTCAATATAATGTCTTCCAGTCTCTCCCAAGTTACATAGTCATTTTCAAGCTCATTGCTCCTGAATGCTGCATAGTATTTCATCACTCACGGGGAGCTCTGGTGGCCTGGTGGCTAGAAGCTGACGGCTTGTGGCTCAAGGCTACCAGCTGCTTCATGGGAGAAGGATGGGTAATCTCCTCCTATACAGTTAACTGCCTCTGAAAACCCGCTAGTGAGTAAGCTGTGGGTTGATTCCAACATTGTGATACACGACAACAGTGATTTTTGTAAGAATTTGGTCAGAAAGCTGTCCCACTGCTAACTGCTGTATTGTCAGTCATTTTATTGCTATTATTTATGATTCATGTCTTATCTTCCCTCTAAGGAACTTCTTCAGGTAAATAAAGGAACCTTGAGCAGTTGTTTTATGTTCATTTGCTCCATGAATGTTAAGAATAATTGTTTGGGAAACATGTAAAATATTGCTAATCTGTATAAAGAGAGATGTGGAGACTCCCCCTGTGCTGTGTTCAACATTTTGTGCTCCATGGCTTTGTTCTGATTTTCTTTGCTTCTGGAGGCGAACCACTGATAGGTACATTCTCTGATAAGTAACCCGATTTTTACTTCATCAGTTGAATTCATGGTCTGCTCTGAAAATGAATATGCCTTAAATGGGAATTGAGTCAGAGATTTAAGCTTAAAGCCTCCTTTATTTAAAATCAGAAATTAATATTAGGATGAAGCTGCAGAGCGATTATTTGTATCTGCTAAAAATAACTTTTGTCTTTCCTCAGGAAATATTATGGAGAGAAGATTGGAATCTACTTTGCTTGGCTGGGCTATTATACTCAAATGCTGCTCCTGGCTGCCGTTGTAGGAGTGGCTTGCTTTCTTTATGGATATTTTAATCAAAACAACTGTACCTGGAGGTAACTTCTGCTTAATCCTTGATGTCGTGCAGAAAAGTTGATTAGAATTAAAATTCTTTTTCCGAGTCTTCAACTATTTTAGTAAAACAAGACTCACTGCAGAACACTTATTACTTTAGATGATTTGTCCCTTTTGTTATGAGTATAATAACTAAGTGAAACAGGGGAAAAAATGTCTTAGATAACCCAGCCCTGTCTCTGACAGGAATATTACTCTTAGGAAACATTCCAATGTTTTAAGACAATACTTTACCTGCAAAAGAAAGGAGGACCAGAGGGAGGTTTGTCCTTGAACTTCTGTGCCTGGAGGAATGCTTCTCTCAGCCCTAGAGATGTTCGCCAAGGCCAGCACTGTGATGCCTCAGGGTTGCCATTATAACTTTTTCTTCTGCTTTAGAGATAATATATTTTTTCATATGTAAAGAAATGCATATTAAAGCACTCAAGAGGACCATACTTATTTGATTTTTATTTTTATTTTCTTTTTTATTTTTTGTCTTGAAAATTAGCACTTAACAATACTTAAGGGAGAAAAATACTGAACAAGAAGTAAATAGTACTGGAAGTTGGAATTTAAATACCAGCACTTCTGTCTTAAGGAAAATATGAGAATACCATAGCACCCTGAATTTCACCATAATAACTTTTAATTTAGGGGCCGTGGTGGGATGATTGTAAGAAAGGGGGAGAAACCGATATATAAATGAAAGAAATAGAATGTAAATGAGGGACTGTATGGAACACAGTGTACATGCATGAAACGCAAGGTATATGAATGATAAAAATAATAATAAAAAATATAAAAATGGGGAACAACCCCATACTCACTGCACAAGGGGATTTCAATTCATAGTACCTGTCCATTGGGTTTCTGAGGCTGTCAAACGCAGTGGGAGGAGATTGTCCATCTTTCTCCCACAGAGCCACAGCCTTGGAAGCCCTATGCAGCAGTTCTTCTCTGTCCTTCAGGGTCACTCTGCAGAGTGGCAATAGGGATTTGTTTTAAGTCTATCTATTGCTCCCCCTCTGCTTCTGATAGTCTTGGTACCCCAGAAGGGATGTAACACCAAGTCACACATTTTTCTTTGGATCACCTGGCCATCTTCCAGGTGTGACAGCCAGATCAGAATTTCTGGGCACCAGACATGGGCTGAAGACCAAATTTTTCAAACCCTGTGCCTGCCTCCCAAGGCCTGATGCTTCCACTGCAGTGCCGATCTATCTGCATAATTATCTGGTGTATTTACAGAAGACTCTGAGCATTTTGTACCCGTTATGGCTTCGTAACTAGAACGCTGCAGATGGTCTTTGAAGTACTCTTCCTCTCATCCCTGAAAAAGAGTTTAGGGCCAAAAGCTGACTATTGAGACCTTTTGCCTCATTTGTCATTGTCTTCATTGTTTTGTTCCAGCCAAAAACTGCATTGCAAAAAATACACTTTCTCAAAAGCAAACAAACAAAACCAAAAGTTGCCATTTTTGTGAGGTTCTTAAGTAACCACTGTAATTGGTTGTAATTCATTTGACAAAATCACCATTAAAGTCACACCACAAAATTTCTCCAGTTTCACACAGTTTGACTTATGGAAAACTGGAATAGACCTTTTAGGGGCATAGTTTCTAAGCTTAAAATTCTTGAGACTTTAAGTATTTGATATTTGAAGTTTTAAAAAATATTTACATTATTTGCATTGGCTTTATTATCTTTGGAGTAGCTGCATGGCAAAAGAATAGATACATAAAGTATAGAAATAATTGTCCACTACCTAAATGAAGAAAAGGGAGACACTTGCTGGTACCCAGCATGCTAGAGTTTTTGCTCCACCCAGAAGTATCTTAGAAGAGAGGTCTGAATATCTATCTAGCTCTGAAAAATCAACCATTGAAAATGCTGTAGTGTTCTATCCCTACACACATGAGGTCACCATGTGTCAGAATCTTACCGAGGGCAACTGGTTTGGCTAGGTGGGTTTTTTTTTAATGGAGAGACCCTTTCTTCATTTTCTTTGCAAGTTATTTTTTCCAAAAATCATTCTCTTTTTAGTTGCTACTGGTATGACTGCTTCAACCGCTTGCAGTGTTAAATAATTCCTGCCTTGGTTGTTTGCAGCAGCTGCCCTTGGGATAGGGCTGTTCACACAGAGTGAGCTCTGAAAGTGGCCAAATAATGACAAGTCCTGAGAATGGAGCTTTTCCAGGAAGCTGCCAGACAGGTCAAGTAGTGCTCATTCTCTGGCGATGGGTTTTTTTTAATAGCTCCAAATCCCTCCTGCCCCCTCCAGTGGCTGCCTGGCGTCTGTTTTTTCATAGCTACCTCAGTTGCAAGGCTGTTGACTTTTTAGGTTACTGAGAAGCTGAGGTGATAGGAATGGAATGGAAATAGGTCAAGTTAGAATGCCACCTAGCTGGATCCTCGTATAATGGTAATGCTTTTCTCAAATAAATGCTCCTCAGATCACTGCAAGCCTTTTGTTCATTTCCAGAGTTCTGGAAAGTTTGCTTTTGACGGTTTTTGCCAGTAGTTTCATTACAATGGTTTCGTTATGGAGGAGTGAACTTTTGTAGATCCATACTTGGCCATTCTGGAAGTCCTTCCCATGCCCATAGCCTTCCACTGAATTGTTTACAGGGCCACTTCACTGCACAGTCCTAGCTCATTGACGCAGGGGCCATGGGAATGGCTCCTCTAGGTTTGAGTTGTGTTATGATTATGGGCTTACTCTCATGGATTTTCTAACATATACATATGCGATTTTTATTTTTTAATTTTTTTTATATTTATTATTTGTGTGTGTGTACTGTCAAATCAGATCTGACTGGTACAGGAGGAGATTGTTCCTCCTTCTCCAGCAGAGCATCTGGTGGATTTGAACTGTGCACCTCTGGGATTGCAGTGCAGCTTCTTGCCACTAAGCCACCAGAGCTTGCCTACATATGCAATTTTACAAGCTCCATTACAATATTTATTCTCATGTTACTGATTTATAGTGTCACCTGAATGTAAATAACTTTTTCTATGTGCTGAACCCTGCTTCTGAACTCAATTTGTTTTATTGGTCATTTTTTCCCTTTATCTATGCCAATAAAATCTTGATCTTCTGGAATGTCTTTACTGTTCTTAGTCATCTGCTCTTCCATTGAATTTAGAGCTTAAATGGAGCAGAACTGGCATCTTTAAACACAGATTCTTCTACATTATGATCATGATATATGGGTCTTCTTTTATTTTTTTTTCTGTGTAAATCATACATATTTAGAATTAGATTTATTGTCTTATTATTGTTGTGTGCCATCAAGTCAAAACCGACATAGCTGACCTTTCAGTGAGTTTTCAGAGGCAGTAAATCACGTGGGAAGAGATTGCCCATCCCAAACTTATGGAGCAGCTGGTGGATTCAAACCACATACCTTTGGGATTGCAGTGCAGATTCTTACCATTGGGCCACCAGCACTCCCTAGTTTTTATGATTGATGGGTCCTGTTGAGTCAATTGTGACTCTCAGCAACCTCACGTGTTGAGAAGAACTGCCTCATAGGGTTTTCTTCACCGCAGCCTTTGTAGAAATAGATCTCTATGTCTTCCTCCTCCTACAGAGAAGCTGGATGGGTTCTGTTACAACAGAGTGCTTCACTATTGCACCATTGATTGATTTATTCCTAGATTCGTGGCAATTTTAATTTATTGTAAGTGGTATCTATTTTAAGAATAATTTTCTAATTATAGGATCACAATCCCACAAATTCTTTTTGTGTGAAGCAAGCTAAATTAACTTATTAATTTTAAAAAGTTAACTGTAGATCTTTCAAGTTGTCTGTATAGCTATGGATTACATCTAACTTCACTATGGAAAAAAAATTTTCACCACTGAACTAACTGGCAAAATTATGGTAGTTAGAGACAAGATTCAAACTGTCAACACTTTCATCTTACTTGGATCCACATTTAACACCCTTGGTATCAGCATGTAAGAGATCAGAAGACATATTGTAGTGGGGGAGTCTGCTGTCAGGAACTTCTTAAAATTACTTAAGATGCACCTGATTCAGACCAATATTTTCAATCACTTTCTATGTATTTAAGAGTTGCACAAGCATGACAGAAGAATTGATGCCTTTGAGCTGTGGTGTTGAAGGAGAGTACTGAATATCCCATAGACAGCCAAAAGAACAGATATGTCTTCAAGAAAATGCAGCCAGAGTGGAAGCAAGGGTGAAGAAGTCTCATTTCATTTCACATATTTTTGGTAGAAAGGCTATTCCTTGGGAAGAGACATCATGCTTGGAAAGGTGGAGGACCAGCGAAAGAGAGGAAGACCCTCAACCAGATAAATTGACACAGTGACTGAAACAATAGGCCCAAGTATGTCAGAGATGAAGAGGATGCCCAGCATTCAGATCTGTCATCCACACGGTCACTATGAGTGGTGCTCGACTCGATGGCACCTAACAAATATAGTGACAGTCAAGAGTTTCTTCCCTCTAGTTTTCATAATTCCCTTGATTTGCTGGCCAAGAATCTTCAATTAAAAGAAAGTGGTGATAACAGGTCAATTTTTCATGTTGTTGTGTACTATAGAGTCAGAACTGACCCTCCAGCAGGTATTCAGAGGCAGTTAATCGCACAGGAGGAGACTGCCCATCCTTCTCCCACAAAGCAACTGGTGGCCTTGAACCTGTGCCTTTAGGACTGCAGTGCAGCTTCTTGCCACTAGGCCACCTGAGCTCCCTACTTTTTCATGTTACTGATATAAAAGAATTACTTTCAACTCTTTTGCTGTTCAATATATTTTCTGTAGGTTTTTTGTAGCTTGCCTTTATCAAATTAATAAACTTTTAATCCCTAGCTTTCTAAGAGAGGTTTAATGTTGTTTGTTATTATGAATGTACTTATTTTTTTTCTGTGTGTCTAGGCTTTATTTAATTTTGTAACTAATTTTTATCTCTTTAGCAAAGAAGTATGTGATCCTGAGATAGGCGGCAAGATCATAATGTGTCCACAGTGTGATAGGCTTTGTTCATTTTGGAATCTCAGTATTACTTGCGAGTCCTCAAAGGTAATTTCTTTGTTATTTCACACATTTGCCTCTAATGAAAGAATTTTATTATTTTTCTTATTAATAACAAGTGTAACACTATGTAGGAATTATATTATACTAAGAGATTCAGAGATAATTTTCACCTAAACCTCAAAACACTTTGGGAGAAATGGAGTACTCAAGTTTCTTGTTTGTGTACCAAGTAAGATTAAAGCCTATCTAAAATTCATGGTAGGTCAGTGTGGAAGGGTGGAATAGTAACTATTTGAACATTTCAAATAATCAGAGCACAAGTTTCAAAGCTGGTTTATTTCATAAATATTTGTTTTTCTTACTCTGAGTAGAACCATGAAATCTATATTTGAGTTTCCCTCTTTTCAAATATGTTAAATTATGCTTGGAATTTTAAAGGCCCTACATGACTGGTCAGATAAATCTTGTATCTATAAATTTATAGAAGAGAGATTGTATGTCAGTCTTAGCAGTTACTCAATTTGTCTTAAACCTTTGCACACCACATATCTGACATATACATGAATGTCCTTGAGTCCTTCTCAAGACTTCTTAGAATCCAGAAGGTTAGGAGTCTGGATGGGACATACTGACTGACAAGCAGCCCAGAAACTCTGAGCAGGAAGTAAATGGTCTTCTTACTTCTGAGAGTTCGCCTGACAAATGTGACATTGCATCTCTTCTTGTCAGATTCATTTCTTTACTCCATTGTACTGCCATGGAAGTTTAGAAAGTGATGTTTTCAGAATATTCTGACCCATTCTATGAAAGTCCAAAAGATTTTTACTACCATCTTGTTATGGTAGTGGTGCCACTTTATAATTTGTAAAGCACGTATTACTTTTACTTTTGACATATACAACATCTCTATAAGTACAATAGGCATTCTGTCCACTTCACAATGGATATTAAGTTCACAGATTTAAACATTGAGGATCTGAGAGGTTAAATTATGTTATTTGTTCACATTCACCTACCTAGAAACTGGAAAAGCCAGAAAATTATAGCACATCTGCATTTCTTGCTGTTACCATGTTCCCTGTGGATAAACTTCCCTGTGCAGGCTGATGGTGGTAGAACCATGCATGTCTCTACTAAATCTGTCTCTATGTTAGAATTATTACTCTAACAATTAATTAAGATGATTGCAGGGTATCTTCAACACATAGGTTTTAGAATGTAATTTATAAAGTAACTTTTACTGAGAGGGTGAAACCAAGTTTCTCCCTGGGGGCTAGGATTTTGAAGCTCCATCTCAAATGCTTTGGGCACATGTCCAGGAGAGTCTGGTCCTTGGGGAAAAACATCATGCTTGGAAGGGTGGAGGGACAGCACAGGAGAGGAAGACCCCAGATGAGATGTATTGATACAGTAACTGGGGCAGTGGGGATTGGTATATCGGAATTAGTGAGACTGGCTCAGAATAGAGAAGGGTTCAGAGCTGTAGGGTCGCTATGGGTCACAGGCGACTCAGTGGCACATAAAAACAACAACTGAGTTCATTTCAACTCAGACCCACTCCATAAAACAGAATAGAGCTCTCCCATGGGATTTTCATGGGCTGTAATCTTTGTGGGATCAAATTGCCAATTTTTTTTTCTCTCTCAGATTCTCTTGAGAGGGTCATGAGTGTTGAACTGCAGCTGGGAATTTAACCATATTATTCTCCCCAGCCTAAAAAAAAATAATAAAAAAAATTCTGTACTAAATATCTGTCCGAAATGGTGCATGCTAATATGAGGGAAACTACATTTGAAAGATGTTTACTCATTAACTAAAGGTCTGTAGCTATCACACCACAAGTCCGGGTTGTGGAGTGGTTATGAACTTGACTGTTAACCAGATCAGTGGTTGGAATCCACCAGCCTTTCAATGGGAGAGAGATGTGGCAGTCTGCCTCCATGAAGATGACAGCCCTGGAACCCTGTGCTTATTCAGGTAGCTAGCAGACATCCTAAGACATTGGATTCAAGGCCAATGCCAATAATAACATGAGAGCAAATTGTACTCACAAGAAAATGTCTTTTTTTCTTAAGAATTTCTATCCCTGTCCATACCTAACGCCATCCCTCCTCTCTTCTGCCCTCACCCACCCATCCATATGTGCATGATGTTTTAATTTGTCCATTTGGTTTTTCCACCGTTTTGGAAATGCTGAATGAGTTTCATTCTTCACCAGAAAGGATCCTTGGAGTGTTGTCAGAGTGATTTATAAAGGTGATAGAGCATTAAAAAAAAAATTAGTCAAAGAAAGAAATGAAAAAATAAGAGGCAGGGGCAAAGTGCTTTTCTGTTTCCTAGCTAATAATTTCTTTCTTCTTTTATCCATACATTTATTTGCATATTAATTACTCCTTCCTTCTTTTGAAAAGAAGTGAAGTATTCCTTCATTAACATATATTCCAAAAGGGGCAACATAATAGAAATATACAAGCAAGACAAAGAAATAGTGTGCAGATAATAGGGATTAAGTTATTTTGTGCTTGAGGATTTATGTGTTAGATCCTTAGCATTTTGCTTTGATAGCAACATTCCTTTTTTAGCATTTTAAGTGGTTTCATCACCTGTAGCTTCTTTTTTTCCTTGTCCCTGTAGATATAACAGATGCTTGCCATTTTACCATAAGCTATAGATTTTTAGGAAGTGTGAATATGCTCAGTGATAAAAAATTAGTTACTAGTTGAAAAACTTTCCAAAAAGCCATAGAGATTTGCATGCTAGCAAATAGATGACACGTATCAGAACCAGAGGATAGACCCTTCTTTGTCCAGGAATGTTATTTCTTTGTCATTGTACTCATTTTAATGTAAGCAAAAATACCTGTGTCAGTGGAAGCATCTGTCAGTGACAATTCTTGTGAGTGGTCTCCTTGGGGAGTGCCACCTCAGAATAAACACTAGCTTTGTTCTTCTCTTCAAAAGGAAAGTTTAAATTCTACAGTGCAGCTTACCACCAGGGTAATATGATGATAAGATATGAAGCATAAGTCCAAAAGCTGCTTAGAGGTTATTGAACATAAAAGGTCATAGTCCTTCCTCAATTATCTTTATGATAGCTCGTAAAGATAGACTGTTATGCAAAAGCTTGATAAAGGCTTTCCACTGAGTGGAATTTTAACAGATACACTAGCATCTGCTACCACCAAGTCAACTCCAACTCATAATGACCCATGTGTTTCATAACAGTACTGTGTTCCAAAAGGTTTTCAATGACTAGGTTTTCCCAAGTAGGTGACCAGATTTCCCTTTTAAAGAACCTCTGGGTACATTTGAACTTCAGCATTTTGGTTAACAGTCAAACCATTCTGTCTCATTCAGAGACTCCTAGAAGTTTTTTATATATATATAATCCTTTAATGCCCTATGGAATGATTCTGTTGGCAGAGGCATGCTGATAAAGAGTAGAAGTTGTTTGTTTTTAAAAAACAAAAATCCCATCCCCGTCTGCGAGTATGTGGTCTATATTGGTGAGTGTCAAAATACACATTAGCTTTGAAAAAGCACTGTAGGTTGTCCCTGACTTTAATCAAGTTACAAAGAATTGGATTTACAATCCTCTGGTCTTTTCAATGACAGTGCAGGAGAGGAAGGCCCTCTATGAGGTGGATTGAGTCAGTGAGTGGGGTAATTGGCATGGGTGTATCAGAGACAGTGCGATTGGCACAGGACAGAGTTTAGGGCTGTTGTACATAGGGTCGCTATGAGTCACAAGTGACTCGACGGCACATAACAACAACAACAACAACATGCATGTATTATTTTTAATTTTTTTAAGGTATGGGAGCTCTGGTGGCTTAGTGGTAAGGAGTTACCCCACCAACCCAAAGGCATATGGTTTGGGTCCACCAGCTACTGCATGGGAGAAAGATCTACAATCTCTTCTAGTGCAAAACACAGCCTCTGAAAACCTGCTGGGGGTCAGCTATTAGTTGGTTCCAAATTACAGTACATAACAACAACATGTTTATATTCATATGCCGTATTTCCAACCCCCATTGATAAATAAATATCATATTTATAGAAATGTTGATATCAAAAGGGAGTTCTTCTGGTGGCCTACTGTCCTAGTTGGGTTACACTGCCAACTCAAAGGCAAATGGTTTGAATCCAGCAGCTGCTTCACAAGAGAAAAATGGGCAGTCTTCTCCCATGTGATTTATAGCCTCTGAAGCTCACTGGAGTGTCAGCTATGAGGTGATTGTTACCCAACAGAAATCAGTGAATGAGTGATGATTAACAACAATAATAATGAAAACTTTTTAAAAATAATGTGATAACTTGTATCAGAGCCACTTTACAGTGGAGTTGTTGGATCAAATTCTAATCAGCAGAGAACATTTATTTATTTTCATGTCATTGTGTTTTACAGAAATTGTGTATATTTGACAGCTTTGGAACCCTGATCTTTGCTGTATTTATGGGAGTATGGGGTAAGTTATATTCATTTTTTTTACCTTATTTATGGCATTTACCTCTTAACATAAAATAAATCTAAGAGCATACATAAACCCAGACTGTGAAAATAACCAGCTTTCAGAACCTTGTATTTCCCAAGCTTTAGCAGCTTATAATTTACTATCCAAAGGCCAAAATATCAATTAGCTCTTATTACATAAAAAAGCTACCCCCAAATGTAGTGACTTAAAACAACAAACATTTATTGCATCTCACAGTTCTCTGGGTCACCGAGGAGAGTCTTCAGGCATGGACAGGCCATTCAGCTGAAGCTACATGGGCTGGGAGTTGGCACACTAGTATGGTGTATGAGGCTTCAGCTAGGACAGCTTGTCTCTACTTTCTGTGGTCTTCTATTTGCCAATAGATTAGGACTTTTTACATGGCGGATCCAGGTTTCTAAAGCAGCAAGGGAAGGAAAGCCCCAGTAAATTTTAAGCCTATAGCTACAGCAGGTTTGTTAGTGTCCCATTGGCCAAAGCAAGTTACAGAGTCAAGCCAACAAGGTATAGAGTCAAAATGAGGCGGTGGAGGACAACTAAAATTTGAATTTAGGAAGAAAGAGTCCTTGGGAGCCATTATTACAGCAATTTCCATAGTTATTATCCAATTTAACTTTCATGAGATTGGGTTAGGATAGTATCATAGTTTCCTACTATTGCTCTATAACAGAAATACCACAAGTGAATGGCTTTGTTGTTGTTAGTGTTATGTGCCATCAAGTCACTTGTGACTCATAGCAACCCTATGTATAGCAACCCTATGTGCAACAGCCCTAAACCCTGCTCTATCCTATGCCAATCTCACTGTCTCACACACCTATCCCCATTACCCCAGTCACTGAATCAATCCACCTCATGTAGGGTCTTCCCCTCCTACACTGTCCCTCTACCCTCCCAAACATGATGTCCCTCTCCAAGGACCTGTCCCTCCTTACAACATGTTCAAAGTATGTTAGATGGAGCCTCAGAATCCTTGCCTCCAAGGAGCATCCTGGTTTAACCCTTTCTCGGATGAACCTCTTTGTTTTCTTAGCAGTCCATGGTACATTCAATACTCTTCTCCAGCACCACAGCTCAAAGGCGTCAATCTCCTTCTATCCTCCCTAGTCATTGTCCAACTCTCTGACGCATAACAACTGATTGCAAAGACCCTGGCCTGTATCATGCACACCTTGTTCTCCAGAGAGAAAACCATTGCTCTTCAGTACTTTTGAGAGGTCCCTAACAGCAGACTTGCCCATCACAACACGTCTTGGGAACAAACTTGTTTTCTCATAATGCTAGAGGCTTCGTTGACTCTTTCATCGTGGCAGGACTGTGGTTGCTTGGAGGCCCCTGTATTTCCCCGCCCATGTGGGTGCATGAATTTATGTTCATTCTGCTCTTACTATGACTCAGATGTGATTAGACTTAGGATCCATCCTATACTGGGATGATCTCAATCTACTGCTTGATTACATTAGACTAGATTGCATAATGGAAATGATTGTATATAATTAAACAGCATTTGGCCAGGATTTCAGTATATATTTTGGGAGGACAACTCAGTCTAGAACAGAGGGAAGCAGCAGCACAGGGCTTGTGTATGAGCTTTCTTCTTTATATTGTTTTTATAAATACTTCTGTATAAGTGAGTATTTAATAAGTATACATCATTCTTTTAATGGATCCCTGGGTGGCACAGATGGTTTAAACTATTTGGCTACTAATGGAAAAGTTGGCATTTTGAGCACATGCACAAAGACCCAGTGATCTGTCTCCAAAAGGTCATAGCCACTGAAAATACTATGGAGTGCATTTGTCTTAGGCAGCACATGGGGGTCAACATGAGTTGGAATCAACTGGATGAAAACTGGTTGGTTTTTCTTTTTATTCTTTTATACATAGAAGCAAAGTCTGTTCAATCAAAAAAAATATAATCCTAGATAAAATAGTTCTTATGGAGGAGCTTTAACATTATATATTATTTACTTTTAATAGCATCATTAATGTTGTTGCTATTCTTATGTGCCATCGAGTTGCCTGCGACTCATAGTGACCCTCTATATACAATAGCTCTGAACCCTGCTCTATCCAGAGCCAATCTTTTCTCTTAGAGGCATTTACCCCCATTACCCCAGTCACCAAGTCAATCAATCTCATTGAGGGTCTTCCTCTCTTGCATTGTTCCTCCACCCTCTCAAACATGATGTACCTCTTCAAGGACTGTTCCCTCTTTGCAACATACCCAACGTATGTCAGATGGAGTTTCAGAATATTTGCCTCCAGGGAGCAGCCTGGTTTCACCCTCTCCAGGGTGAATCTGTTTGTTCTCCTAGCAGTCCATGGTATATTCAATACTCTCAGGACCACACAGCTCAAAGACATCAGTTCTAATTCTATCATCCCTAGTCATTGTCCAGCTTTCTTATACATAGCACGTAATTGTGACAACCATGGCCTGGATCAGGCTCACCTTAGTCCCTCCTTGCAGCATGCCTAAAGTATGTCAGATGGAGCTTCTCCAAGGAGCAGTCTGGTTTCACCCTCTCCAAAATGAACCTGCTTGTTCACTTAGCAGTCCATGGTACTCTTCAGTACTCAATATTCAGTACTATTCTCCAGTATTGTCAGGTCCATTCCATCTCATCTTGACCCTATTTGACAGGGTATAGCAGTCTTTAGTGTCTTCTTAGCTGCAGTCATTGTGGGAACAGCTTATCAGGTCTTTTTCCCCAAGGAGCTCTGGTAATGTTCTAACCACCAAGCTTTCAGTTAGTTGTCAAGGGCTTAGCTCTTGTATCACCAAAGATGCCATAGAGCGACCTGGAAGGTGGCCAAAATTATGCGCTCAGTTCTCTTGCCATTCAGATGGTTATCATATTTGGGCTGATCACCAAATACTGATTAGTAATTTGACACAGAAGAGTAAAGATCAAATTCGTGTTTTATTTTATATTCCTTCATTGAAAAATACAATGTTTTGTTCCAGTAAGAGAACTCTGCTGAACATGTAGCAGCTGTTGAGACTATTGTTTAACCTTGTTCTCAGCACAGATTTATCATTTATACAATTATCACATCTACTAAACTCCATATACTAATGGATCCTGATGACACTAATTAAGACAGGCATTTTAAATACGGACAAAAACAATTAATTTTGATACTAGCAAGACAAACGTCAGATTTCCTAACTGGCCTTCCAGTCTCTGATCTTTAATTATTCTGTGGCTATAGAGCTGACTTTCAACACTGGGCTTCTGGCTTGAACTCATCACATTTTAGAATGCAGAAAGCATTTCAGCATTGCTTGTAGCACCAAATGTATTTTAAAGGCTGTGCATGTGTGATGAACTCTTGAAGTGCTTTATAGCTCTGTCCCTCTTACCTCTGCTGTATGAGAGCTACTGCTGTGAACCTAACTATGGAAAAATTGAAATTGCAAAACCGAATTGATGGAAGGATCATGTAGTTATTCATGTTATCACCATCATATTCTAGTAGCATCTCTTTTGTGTCCAGATGTATATGACATTTAGAGTACTTTTCTGCTCCCTAGGGATTATAGAAGTTGAAGATAGAAAACTTCTTACAATCAATACAGTACAAATCTTATACTTACTGAAAACTGTACCCTTTTAGAGACCAAGCCCACCCACCCACTCATGCTGGCCCATAATGGCGCTGAAAAGATGTCTCTCCTTCTACCAATTTCTTACTGCTTCTGACCTATTTTCACTTTAATTTCATTGGCTTTAGACCTTTTTGCTTTGTTTTTTTTTCCTTTAGACTTTTGATTTGGGGATTTATCATTCATCTTTACCTTAACCTGCATTAAAACTTCAGACTTTTCTTACTAGTTCTAACGTTGGCCTTCCCTGCAAACAATGCCTCTGAAACATAGTCAGCAGGAATTCCTATCCCTACTCCACCCAGCCTTGTAGGTTCTTTCTAGCCTTCAGCTGGCCCTCCCTTCCTCCCTCACTACAAGTGTACTCAAGCAGGGAGAGAGGGGTGCACCTGGAGCATAGGAGAGGAAAGAGGGCATTCCTGTAAACAGGATTAGCTCAGTTCTGTTGATTCAGAGTCTGACAGAAGAGCCAGCCAAAATTTTTCCTACAAATTGTTTAATTGGGGGTGGGGGGTACTGTAAGGTAAAAGTATTTAACTTGAATATTGGCTTTGTCATTGGTTTCTGAGAGACTGCCTTCAAACCCTGAAATGTTACCAGTAATTGAATGGCTTTGATAAGAGCTCCAGTACACACCTGAGGGTTTATGCTAATGAAGTGTCTTAGGTGAAGGGGCCTGACCAGAAAGACAATGGAGAGTTATCAGCTGACTTCAGAGAAGGGAAGTTGCTTCAACCAACTTGCCTGTGCAGTGTGGTCACAATGAAGGCTCTGGACATGGGAGCTCCAAGGGCTTCTTGATTGTTGGTAGACACACGTAGGGTGCAGTACATTCCCTTTTGGGAAATGGAAGCTCTGCATTGGTGAGCTTCCCAGACTTTGCCTAATGTATCTTTATTTGTATTCTTTTGCAGTAATAAAATATTAATTTTTATGAATTTAATTTTGTCCACTAGAAACATGTGTTGTAACTCCTAACCTCTATGTTTTTGTTTGGAGAGCCCTTGTGGTCTCGTTGTAAGGAGTTGTACTGCTAACCCAAAGGCACATGGTTCAAATCCATCAGCTGTTCTGTGGGAGATAGGTGGGCAGCCTCCTCCCATGCGATTTACTGCCTCTGAAAACCCACTGGAGGATCAGCCATGTATGAGTTGGTCCCAGCAACATGCCTGTGTTTATAATCTCATTTAGAATTAGATTGTTACATTAATGAGATAGGGTTGTTGTCATTTCTTAAGTGTAGTCCAGTTGACTGCAACTCATGGTGACCCAACCTTGTGAAAAATTAATCTGAGCAGTGCCCTATCCTTCGCCATCCTGACCATCTCTGACATTCCCAAGCCCACTGATACAGTTACTGTGTCAATCCATCTCATTGAGAGTCTTCCTCTCCTTCATTGACCCTCCACCTTTCCAAGCGTGATTTCCGTTTCCAAGGACTGGCTTCTTCTAACAGCATGCCCAAAATATGTAAGATGAAGTCTCACCATTCTTACCTCCAAGCACTGGTTACACTTTTTCCAAGACATATTTGTTTGTTCTTTTGGGATTCCATGGAATATTTGGTATTCTTTTTCCAACACCACAACTAAGAGGTATCAGTTTTCCCCCAGTTATCCTTATTCATTGTCCAACTTACAGATGCATTGGAAGTAATTGAAATTATTATGGTATGGACCCCAGTCCATCTTAGTCTTCAAATTGGCATCATTACATTTCAGTACTTTGGAGAGGTCTGTGAATGGTATATATATATATGGAGTCTATTTCTTGAGATATACAAGAAATTAAATAAGCAAGCAAAAGAAGCAGTGAGGGAGGAAAATAGATACCAGTTCTCAAAAAGATAGCCTAGGAGTGAAAATCAAGGAAACAGGACCTTCCTCCAGAGCTGGCAGAGAGAGAGCTTTGCCCTGGAGTGAGCACCCTGAATTCAGTCTTAGTGCGAAGGAGTTGTGCTGCCAACCCAAAGGCACTCAGTTTGAATCCACCAGCTGCTCTGAAGAAGAAAGATGGGTTCTCTTGTCCCCTGTGACTTACTGTCTCTAAAAACTTTTTGGATGGTCAGCTATGAGTCAGTTTTGACTTGATGGTACATAACAAAAATCCTCCTAAACGTTTTATTGTTATTGTTATATGCTGTCAAATTGACTGCAGCTCATAGGGACCCATTGTAAAACCTGCTCTATCCTGTACCAATCTTATTATCTCTGACACACCTACCGCCATTTTCCCAGTCTCTGAATCAATCCATTTCATCAAGGGTCTTCTTCTCTTGTGCTTTCCCTACACCCTCCCAAACATGATGTCCCTCTGCACGGACTGGTCCCTCCTTGCAACAAGTCCAAAGTATGTCAGACGAAGCTTCAGAATCCTTGCCTCCAAGGAGCAGCCTGGTTTCACCCTCTCCAGAATAAACCTGTTTGTTCTCTTAGCAATTCATGGTATATTCAGTACTCTTCTCCAGCACCACAGCTCAAAGCCATTAATTCTCCTTTTATAATTCCTGCTCATTGTCCAGCTTTCCAATGCACAGCAAATAATTGCAAAGACCATGGCCTATATTATGCACACCTTAGTCTCCAGACTGACATCATTGTTTTCCATACTTTGGAGAGGTCTCTATCAGCAGACTTTCCCAGTGCAATTTGTCTTTTTATTTCCTGGTTGTTGGTACCAAGAGTGTTGATTGTGGAGCCAAGCAAACTAAAGTCATTAACAATCTCAGTCTTTTCTCCATCTATAATGATGGCTACCAATCGACCCAGTGGTGAGAATCTTTGTTTCCTTGATATTGAGCTTCAGTCCATATTGAAGGCTGCAATCCTGGACCTTCTGCAGCAAGCACTTCAGGTCCTTCTACCTTTCAGCAAGCAGCTTTGTGTCATCTGCATAACACAGATTGTTAATGAGTCTACCTGCAATCCTAATGCCACACTTACCCTAATAGAGCCCAGCCTCCTGGATAATCTGATATGCATATAAATGGAAAAGATATGGGGATAGGACACATCCCTGGCACACACCCTTCCCAATTTTGAACCATGCAGTTTTTCCTTGCTCTGTGTTGACAGCTGCCTTCTGGTCCCAGTATAGGTTTAGCATAAGCACAATCAGGTGTTCTGGGATTCCCATTCTTCTCAGAGTCATCCACAGTTTGTTGTGATCCACACAGTCAAATGCCTCTGTATAGTCAATGAAACATAGATAGGAATTCCTTTGGTACTCTCTGCTTTTAACCAAAATCCATCTGACATTAGTTATAATATCCCTAATACCACAGCCTCTTCTAAACCCAGCGTGCACTTCAGGCAGTTCTCTGTAGATGTGCTGTTCTAGTCTTTGAATAATCTTCAGCAGAATCTTGCTTGCGTGTGATATTAATGATATTGTTCAATAATTTCTGCACTCTGTCAGGTCACCTTTCTTTGGAATGGGAACAAATACAGATCTCTTGCAGTCAGTTAGCGAGGTGGTTGTCCTCCAGATTTTTTGACAGAACTTGATATGCACATCCTGGGCAGTGTCTATTTGTTGAAATATGTCAATTAGTATGCCTTCAGTTCCTGGGGCTTAATTTTTTTGCCAGTTCTTTCCTAAACATTTAGAAAATAATTGTTTCATTAAGCCGCCCACTTAAAGTATTTCTGTTATAGCAGGTTGTTAATGAGATGTCCACAACCTAAGTTGTGCAGATGATACAACTTTGCTTATAGATAGATAGAAATATTTACTTCAAAAATGTCCAGAGCCTAATCCTGACATCACAGTCCTCATTTCCATAGAGACAGAACCAACTTATACTGGGTTTTCAGAGGCTGTAAATCGCACGGAAAGTGATTACTCCTATTTCTCCTGGAGAGTTATTGGTGGAGTTCAGCTGCCAGAGAGGCACGACCTTTAGGTTAGCAGCACATCTCCCTGTGGGCTGTGCCACCAGAGCTCCCTTCAGGCCCTTGTAGAGGCTGCCAGAGCCCGAATTTGATTTGCTATGGTAATTTACCCAGGGGCATTTGGTTTCATCAGGAAGTCATGTCGACAGCTTTGCAGATTTAAACCTTCTGTATCAGTTTATTCTATGGTAACTTGTTCCAGGAGTTGGGACTTGGTTGGTTAAGAATTTGATAGGTTAACGTCAAACTTCTTAAGAGGCATGTTAAGCCTTTGATATTACCCTATAGATCTTTCCACCTGTCTGCTCTTCCCAGTTCTTTATGCCCTACACTCTACTAGACCATATGCAGTTCCTCAGAAATTCATGGGTCTCATTGGTCTTCTGTACTATGCATGCATGGCTTTCTTGGAGAATCACCTCATCATTCACTCATCTGATCAGCTCTCCATCATCTCTCAAACTCGCCATCTCCTAGGAGAAGCTTCCATAAGACATCTCCATTAGATGTTCTGGCTTTGTATTTCTATATCTACCTGTGCTTACCTCTGTCCTAGCCTTCATAATTATTTGCTGCAATTATGAATTCATTTTAATACCCCTACTCCTTGTTGTTGCTATGTGCCATCGAGTCACCTGCAACTCACGGCAACCATATAAACAAAAGACCTAACACCTTTCCATAATAACTGCACTTTCTCCAAGTTCATAGAGTTCCCAGAGACATGTGGTTTAGGAAACGGATGCCACTCCTGCTTCCAAACCCATCTTACACCTGAGAGCTCCACCAAACACTGTTCCCAATGTGAAACCATTATGGTATTTGATACCCCAGTGGCACAAGGTTCAGCATCACAACAAACCTAGGTTGCTTTATACAGCCCATTAACAAAGAGTGATGTGCAAAGTTGAAGAGTGAGAGTGTATCTCCAGATATAACAGCACTAGCCTCATTTAGCAGTGGTTAAGTGTTGTCGAGTCAACTATGACTCAGAGTAAGCTTTGCACAAAAGACCTGAACTCTGGTCTATAACTAACATAATTTCTGTGTATTTAAAGAGTTTAGAGAGTTTCCAGAGGCATCTAGTTTAGGAATTGGATGACACTCCTGCTTCCCAGCATATATCAATATTGAAGCTTATCCAAACATTCTACATAATGGGTAACAATTATAGTATTTGACATGACTATGGAACAGTGTTCAGCATCACAGAAACTCCAGGTTTTTTAGTACAGCAAATAGACAAATGGTTGCTGTGTCATTTAAAGAGTATTGATTCTAATATTAATAAATTTGGCCCAAGGGCCCTACAGGATTTTAAAGCCACACCTTCTAGTAGGCCTCCACCCCTGGTCAGAGGTTAAAGGGCCACCTACCTCTGGGGGAGGAAGCAGCAACATACATCAAATACGACCCCAAAATCTTCCCTTCCACGACCACCATCCGTACGAGACCACCGAGATGCTAGCTAGCAGCCAACTCCTAGAGTGGAGGGAGACTCCAGGCCCCAGGCCCCAGGCTGGCCCACTGACCCATCACCTCATTATGGATTTTAAAGCCACATGTGTTTTTAGTTGTAAGTGCTGGTAGCAGACACTCTAGCTGTTAAGACACACTCACATGTCGGCCTTCTGACCATAAACTGTAATCTGCTTTCACAAGACAGACTTTCTCTTTAAAGCATTAAATGAATTTCCCAACTTTTAAATACACACTAAATGCCATTTGCCATCAAGTTGATTCCAACTCCCTGCAACCCCATGTGCATCAAACTAGAACGTTGCTCTAAGATTTTCAGTGGCTGATTTTTTTAGAAGCAGTCATCGGGATTGTTTTCTGAGGGTATCTCTGGGTGTTTTGAGACTTTCAGTCTTTTGGTTCACAGCTAAGCACTTAATTGTTTGTACCAACCAGAGACTCCTATAAACCACTTATATCTGTAGATTGATAGATATAGGTATGATTTTTTTTTTTTAAAATCGATGGATAGGCAGTCTCCTCTGGTATGATTAACTTCCTCAGAAAATCTGCCAAAGGGTCAGCCATCAGTCAGTACTGACTCTACGGTAAACAACAACAATATACATTAAATTTTCTTTACCATGTATTAAAGTGTTAAAGATAATAGTAAAATTCCATACTGTGCAGATTTCTGAAATCTCCATCATTTTAAAGATTATGTGATCCTTTTCTTATCTCTGCTAGTTACCTTATTTTTGGAGTTTTGGAAACGACGCCAAGCAGAACTTGAATATGAATGGGACACTGTTGAGTTACAGCAGGAAGAACAAGCCCGGCCAGAATATGAAGCAAGGTGTACTCACGTGGTGATAAATGAGATTACCCAGGTAAGTAAGATGCTATTTAGATGCACTTTAATCTGTTTATTGCCACAGTTCTCAAGCTTGGCCACACATTGAGATCAGCTGGGGCTTAATAGATACTGATACCTCGATCTCATCACTGCATTCTCTGATTTATTGGTTGTGGGTATGGTCTGATCATAGAAATTTGTTTAAAGCTCTGCTAATTCCACTGTGCAAACATGGTAAAGAACCATTGCTTAGAACCACAGTGGTCATACGATACAAATGTACAAATGGAGGAGATGAGAGTGACTCTGAGGAATATATAAGGAAGATTCTCAGATATTTATATACACCTTTTTTATGCCAAACAAACCAAACCAGTTGCTACCAAGTCAATGACACATGGCAACACTATATATGCAGAGTAGAACTGTTCCTTAGGACATTTTAAGGGAGCATTTAAAAGGAGAATGTCCAACCTTTCTTCTGAGTCACCTCTGGGTGGATTCAATCAACCTTTTGGTTAGGAGTCTGGTGTTTACCTAATTGCAGCCACATTTTATTTTTTTTAAATTTTATTTTATTTTTTTTAATAATTTTAATGAACATTTACAGAGAATTTGGATTTCCATTCATTCATTGCCGCACTTCTCTCCCCGCCCAGCCCTCTCCCCCTGCCCCCCAGTTCGCTCCTCTCTTTCAAAAGTAAAAGAAAGACTCCCTGGTACACAATCCCCCGGCACCCCTCCCACCGCCCCAAGTACATTCCACTATGCAACCTTAATTGTGGACTCTTGTGATAGCCATAATACCCTATCATACATCACTTTTAAATTATTCAGTCCCTCATCTGTTTCAGTGCAGTATACACAATTTATCCAGTTTTTCTCAGTCTTACCCCCACCCTGATATCAGTCCCATTTTACAGCAGTGGCACCATGCAGCCATATTTTTGTCATTGACTAGCTGTGCCATTGTACTACCTACCCTCTGGATTAGGATGTGTCAAAAATAATGTGGCTCTTAATCCTCCTGTGGGAAGAAAGGATGGAAGAAGAAAGGAAGTATCTATAAATTCCAGCTATGTTCAGGCATTGTGTTGGAGTTTTGTACAATTATAAAAGTAAACTTACCACTGCTACTTCTGTTGAAAAATTGAAAAATAAAACTATGTATATATCTCTGCATAAATATTTCAAAATTAGCAAAAGATGATTTTTGAATCATCTGCTTTATTGTTTCTTTCCATCAATGGAGAAAATTTAGAGCTGATTGTACTTGGAAGCATCAGCATAAGGACAGTAGGATCTGATTATGAATGGCTCTTGGGAAAAAAAATGTTTTTAGCTAGAGGTCCTGAAAATACCAAACTATAAATTTTATAGTGGAACATACATTTATAAACTGCTGGAGCTAAAAAAGGGGGCCTTGAGGGAGCAGTGTAACCTCCTCATTTTACAAATAAAGAAAATGTGGTTCAGTTTTCAATAGAAAGTGACATTTGCCTCTTATAGCAAACTCTAATAATCCCAGTTATGAATAGTTCCTACTCTTTACAAGAGAATACACTGTCAAATCATGTACCTCAAAGAATTTATCTTCACAAATGAAAGCTGACGTTTACACAGAATTAAATGTTCATAAAGTCTTTTGAGTACAGAAATACAAACAAGACCTTATAGAATTGGAAAATACTAGAGAAAATATTTGGCTTAAATTATATGTCAATTAATAAGCTAAATAGCTATTGATATATGTGTCTTGTAGGGGGTTGATCAGGAATGTAGCTTGCAGTTTGGAATTGTCAGACAATTTTTGCATTTCTTTCCTTGAGGCAAAGGTTATTGAAAGGTAATACATGATTTTGCATCATATGTATGAGAACAATCTGGAACAAGAGGTACATTCCAGAGTGGCCTGGGGAAGGGGAATGTAAGGGGGACAGGGGCAGAAAATGTACAACAATGAATAGATATGTTAGAAAAAAAATGAAAATAAAAAACCAAAAAATGGAACTGGGGAGGGATTAGAGAAGGTGGGAGAGGAAAATGTGCAGCAATAAATGAATGAAAATCAACTTTTCTGCAAGCTCATTAAATATCATTTAAAATAAAAAATTTATTAAAAAAACAAAGTAGAATAGTGTTATTGAAAGGAGTACTGCAAATGTCTTATGCATATATTTGGAAATTATTAACAAAAGGTATGATTATGAGTATGAAGTCTATATTTAAAAACTAATGTTTTTTAAAAACTCGCCTAAGACTCATTGACAGAACAGTTACAAATCCCTTCATTGGCATAATCCTTTGATTGATTAAACTTTTCGTTTGTCTGTTTAGGAGGAAGAGCGTGTTCCCTTTACTACCTGCGGAAAATGTATACGTATAGCCCTCTGTGCAAGTGCTGTCTTTTTCTGGGTGAGAATTTATCCCATTTTTTCAAATAATTAACTTTAAAAGTCAATTTTCAGGAATTGGCCTCTCCTGCCCAAAATAAGTGAGACAAAAATCTCATCTTCCTTGCTTCTAGGGAGCTTTCTGATGGTACTTCATCCAGGACAGATTTGTTTGTTCTTTTGGCAGTCCTTGGTATATTCAACATTCTTGGCCAACAACACAATTCAGAGGCATCAATTCTTTTTTCATATGCATGCAAAACAATTGAAAACACCATGACTTGTGGCAGCTGCACCATTGTTTTCTCTTTAAAGAGATCCTGGAATAGATTTGGCCACTGCAGTATGCCATTGGATTCCTTGATCATTACTAAAATAGTTTTAAAAGGCAAACCACAAACCTGCAAAGGATGTAGTCCCAGGGAGTTGTTTGCGTAGAAGTATTCCACCACCTGGAAGCAACTCTTGAGGTTTCAGAATATCCTGTGCTTTTCTTTATCTCTTTAGAATGATTCTTCCATTTTCTCCAACCTCCTTTGCTTAGAATCAGATTATTAGTTCAAGATTTTCCATTTTCTGGCAAAGAGATCAACTGGACTCTGTTAAGAATTCTAAAAAAAAAAAAGCAACAGACAAAATATCCAAGAATAGCTGTCTAAAGAAGCTATTTAAAAAATTTATAACTACTTAAAGATTTTTTAAAAGTCTTGAACAAATGATTCTGAATTAAAATATTGTATTTCTAAAATATTGGCTCTTATTAAATTAGCTTTCGATTTCTTGTTAATAAGATCATATTTACAATACAGTAATTTAATGAGGGTTGAATTGGCTCAGAAGCAGTAGCCATCTTACAAAACAGGACATCAAGGCCCGAAGTAGGTTCTGATATCAGAAATAATTCCGTATAAGAAGATGGGCATTACCATTTATTGAATAACCTTTACGTAGCCAACTGATTTATAAAGCCTGCCTTCTTATATATTAAACTATATTTGATATCTTTGAGGCAGGAAAGCTTAAAACCATACCAAGAGCCATATATTAAAATAAACTTCAGAAACAACAAATATGTAAACATATAATTTAAAAAATCTAAAAAGAAATAATGATGAATAGGATTCCTAGATATATAATGTATTTTTAAACTTACAGTGAAAAAGAGTTCAAAGGAAAATATTTAAAGGTCTCATATATCAAAGAGCTTAGTGGTAAGAAACTGTACTGCCAACACAAAGGTATACAATTCAAATCAGCCAGTTGCTCTGAAGGCAAAAGGTAGGCAATATCCTCCTGTGCATTTACTGTCTCTGAAAGCCTGCTGGATGGTTCAGCAATAAGTTGGTTCTGACTCCACGGTAAACAAAAACAACATCATATATCAAAAGTACCCTAAATATAAACAAAACACCATAAAAACATGTATGTTAAGTCTCAGTTCATTGCTGTCCAGGCAGAACCAATGCATAATTACCCTCCATTGAATAACTGAAACATTAAGTACAGGAGAAGATTGTCCATTGCTTTCCTGTGAATTTGAATTTCCAAAGAAGCACAGCATTTAGGTTAACAACACAACTCCCTACAGACTATGCCATAAAAACTATTGCTAAGAAGTAGGGCAAACAAATGGTAAAGCCTTTGATACAAGCAATATCCAGATCACCTCTCAAATAACACCAAAGATCTCAGTAGCCAGAGTAACAGAGCGTGGATAGACACTTAGGAAAGGGGGTGGGGGAGGATGTCTAACCTCAAAATATAAAGCTCTGGTGGCTTCTTGTTGTTAGGTGCCACCAGGTTGAGTACGACTCATAGCAACACTAAACACAAATCTGAACTCTGTCCTATTTTGTGCCATCCTCACAATCTCCAACACTAAAGCACATTGCTGCAGTCACTGTGTCAATCCACCTCGTTGAGGTCTTTCTCTCCTTCTCTGTCATTGACAGTTTCATTCTTTTCTCTATCTGTCATGATGTTGCCTATCAGTCCAGTGGCTAGGATTTTTGTTTTCTTGACGTTGAGGTGCAATCCATAGTGAAGGCTGCAGTCTTTGATCTTCTACAGCTAATACTTCAAGTTCTCCTTATCTTTTAGCAAATAAGTTTGTGCCTTCTGCGTAACGAAGTTTGTTGATAAATATTCCTCCAATCCTAATTCCACATTCTTCTTCATAAAGTCCAGATTCTCAAATAATTCTCAGCATACAGATTAAATAGGTATGGACAAAGGATGCAACTCTGAGGCACACCTTTCTTAGTTTTAAACCATGCAGTAACTCCTTACTCTGTTCACAGAATAGCCTCTTGGTCTAGATGTAGATTTTACACAAACACAATTGAAGTATCTGGAATTCCCATTCTTCTCAATGTTAATCGTAATTTGTTATGATCCACACAGTTATGTGTCTTTGCATAGACAATAAAGCTTTCAGCTGGGATCCATCTGGTGGCTTAGTGGTATGAAATTGCACTGCCAACCTATTTTTAGATTACATGATTCAAATCCACCAGATGCTGTATGGGAGAAAAGATGGGCAGCCACCTCCCATGTAATTTACTGCTTCCAAAAACCCACTGGAAGATTAGCTATGGATTGGTTACAACTTGATGGTACACAATAACCATTTCAGTATAATTAGGTTGTTGTGTTGTTGTTGTTATGTGCCGTCGAGTCGCTTGCAACCCATAGTGAACCTGTGTACAACAGCCCTAAACTCTGCACTGTCCTGTGCCAATCGCACTGTCTCTGACACTCCCATCCCAATTATCCCAGTCACCGAATCAGTCCACCTCATAGAGGGAGAGGGCCTTCCCTTCCTGTACTGTCCCTCCACCCTCCCAAGCATGATGTCTTTCTCCAAGGACCAGTCTCTCCTTACAACATGTCCAAAGTATGTTAGACAGAGCCTCAGAATCCTTGCCTCCAAGGAGCCACCCGGTTTAACCCTCTCCAGGATTAATCTGTTTGTTTTCCTAGCAGTCCATGGTACTCTCAATACTCTTCTCCAGCACCACAGCTCAAAGGCATCAATTCTCCTTCTGTCCTCCTTGGTCATTGTCTAACTCTCTGGTGCATAACAAGTGATAGCAAAGACCATGGCCTGTATCAGACGCACCTTACTCTCCAGAGACACACCATTGCTCTTCAGTACTTTGGAGAGGTCCCTAACAGCAGACTTTCCCATGGCAATGCACCTTTTAACTTCCTGGCTACTGGTACCAAGAGTGTTGACTGTGGATCCAAGCAAACTGAAGCTGTGAACAATCTCAATCTCTTCACCATCCATCCTGATGCTGCCAATTGGTCCAGTGGTGAGAATCTTTGTCTTCTTGACATTGAGCTTCAATCCATATTGGAGGCTACAGTCCTTGACCCTCTGCAGCAATTAGGTTACTGCACATTAACCTGAAATACAGTATTTTACTCCTCAAATTAGGAACCTTGTTTAAATGATAAGGCTCTTTGAGAATGAGGTGCTGTAACCTAGAGAGGATGAACTATTCCACCACCATCTGGAGCAGCTCTTGAAGTCATAAGATAGGGATTTCATTATTGTTGTTGGGTGCTTTTGAGGAAATTCCAATTCACAGTGACCCCATGTGACAGAATAGAATGCGCCCTTGAGTTTTCTTGGCTGTGCTGTTTACAGGAGCAGATAACCAGTTCTTTCTCCTGTGGGTCAGCTAGATGGATTTTAGAGCCATCAACCTTTCTGTTCGCAACTGAGACCTTAACTTTTGCATTGTTGTTGTGGTTAAATGCTATTGAGTACAACTCATAGCAACTCTATGAACAACAGACCTAAACCCTGTCCTATGCTGAGCCATCCTCATCGTCTCTGACACACTTGAACCCATTGCTGCACAGTGCCATTTCATCTTGTTGAGTCTTCACCTTCACTGACCCTCTGCCTTTCCAAGCATGATGTCCCTTTCAAAAGAAGAGCTTCTCCTAGCAACCTGCCCAAAATGAGAGGTTAAATTTTTTCTCTCTTTGCCTCCAAGAAGCATTCTGGCTGGACTTTTTCCAAGATAACTTGTTTGTTCTTTGGCAGTCCATGAGGTATTCAGTACTCTTCTCCAACACCACAACTCAAAGGCATCTATTATTCTTCTTTCATTAGGGCTTCTTTTCTCTCTTAGTAGGAAATTGAAGTGTGACACTGCTCCAGCATTCTTAAAAGAGTTTGGCAGCTCTTAAGATCAAGAGTTTTAAAAATATTCCTATGCTATAACCCACTAAGTTAGCTGTTAGAAACCTCTAATCAGAAAATATTTCACAATGTTGAGAAAATATGTACTCACGGACATATTTATTACATTCTCTATAATGTAGATGTTCATACAAGAAACAAGGGCTCTCTTATACCATAATATGTAGGGCCTTGCACTACTAACCAAAGACTGCAGCTCTCAGATAGATGAAGTCAACCAGTGGCTCCTCAGGCGACGGCATCCTCAAGATGGGCAGCATCCTGCCATGCAGTTTACAGCTTCGTTAACCCACTGGAGGGCAGCTATGAGTTAGTTCTGACTCGATGACAATAGGTTTGAGTTTTGGTTTTGAGTGTGTGTTGGAGTAAGAAAAGATTCAATAACCTCCGCTAATACATTTAATTCAGCCATCACTAATTTTTATACACACCACACCTAAATGTTATCAATTAAGAAGTAAGGAAAACGTTTCTTTAACACTTTGGTCTGTAACCATAACTATAATGCTTTTAGTATGCCCAAGAGTGATAGTTTAAGCATTTTTTACATGCAGTAACTCATTTGACCTTCACAACAATACTGTAAGTTACATACTAGTACTTTTCCCTTTATGTAGTAGGATGCCATCAAGTCATTATTTTAATCATATAATCACATTGACTCCGTGTGTCAGAGTAAAACTACCCCCTAGATTTTTTGTTTTGTTTTGTTTTGTTTTTTGGCTATGATCTATCTTTATAGAAGATCTTAGCCTTGTGAAACCACTGAGTGTGTTTGATCCTGTAACCTCTGAGTTAGCTTCCCGGTCCTTGGTCGTTTGCACCACAGGGATTTCCCCCTGACTTATGGCAACCCTCTATGAGTTTCTGAGGCTGTAGATCTTTATTGGAGGAGAATGTCAACCTGAATCCCTCAGAGCAGCTGGTGGTTTTGAATTGCTGCCTGACACATGATTACACTACCAAAGCTCCTTTCCCCCACTACACAGAGGAAGCAATTGAAATCCTACAAAATGAAGTCATTCACCTGCAGGAGTGTGGCTCCAGAGCCAATGCCCAATGTCCTCCCTTTACTGCCCTCCACAGGTACAGAGAGGCCCTTGGCTCTTCCTGTAAACCCATGATTTGCTTAGTCTTGAAATTCCTACTCTCTATAGCTTATCTCTTCTGACAGTCTGCACTTGTAGTCAACACCCATTATGTGCATGCTTCCAGATAGAATATGTACAAGAAAGTATATGTAAGGAAAACAATTTAAATAGCCCTCTCCAACATTGTCTAATGGCCAAACCTGTGTTCAGTTAGTATGAAGAAATTAATGTGGCCTTAAATGGACAGTGTTCAATGACCAGAGAAACCCTCCCTACCAAGGAAATGAAATTCTTCCATGTGCAAACTCTGCTTCCGTCACCCATCACTGACAATGGGGACTCAAAAATCCATTAGAAATAGAGGAAAGTTAAAAGTCTACTGAGTCAGAACTGACAATAATTCATCCTCTCTTGGGTTTCTCACACTTTATATTGCACAAGAGGAGATTGCCCGTCATTCTCCCATGGAGAGGCTGGTGGATTTGAACTGTTAGGCATGGACTTTCAGCTTACAGTGCAGTGCTCTAGGGATTATGCCATCAGAACTCACTAAAGATAGAAAAGACCATCAAAAAATAGAACAGCTTTGGGAAATGAATCTTGGGAAATGCAAGCATGGATGGCTGGCTGCCATTTTAGATTTGAATATGAAAACCATGAAGCTATTATCAGTTGAATTGGTTGGTCACAGCTGTGCAGCCCCTTAAGCGGTGCAGCCCCTTGCCAGCAAGCCTCTCTGCAGTGATTAAGACCAAAGCTGGTACCTGCTGATGCTTGAGCCTATTACAGGTTTGCCATTCGAAAGAAACCTATCCCCTTACTAGATGATAACTCAGCAAGAAACACTAATGCATAACCTAAGTAGCTCAGTACGTGTAAAAAAGATATTTTCACTATTGGTGCTACTGCAGGTGAATTTTCTTTCTACCCGAACAGGCCGACAGCTTTTCTGTTTTTGCCACCTGAAGATTCTTTCTCTTTTGATTCCAGTCTTTCCTTTTCCTTTCTCTGCATTTCCTCATGTCTGATGTCCCACTTGTCTTGTTACAGTCACATGAGGTTCACATTACTTCACACATGCATCTTGGCTTTTTACGTACCCACAAGGACAGTTTTGAGTGAAATTTTTAAAATGGTAAGGATATGATTATTGGTGAGTTTCATGGTGTTGTATTTTATTGTGCTTTCAGATCCTATTAATCATCGCTTCAGTTATTGGGATCATCGTTTACAGGCTCTCGGTGTTCATTGTGTTTTCTGCACAACTGCCCAAGCACTTTAATGGAACAGACCCGATCCAGAAGTATTTAACTCCACAGACAGCGACGTCCATCACTGCTTCCATCATCAGCTTTATCATTATCATGATTCTGAACACCATCTATGAAAAAGTGGCCATCATGATTACTAACTTTGGTAAGGACATTCTGTTATTATCACTGTGTGCCATTGTGTTGCTTCTGACGCAGCAACTCCATGTGACAAAGTAGAGCATTCCCCATAAGATTTTCTTGGTTGTAAACATTACGGAAACAGACTACTAGATTCTTCTGACGAGTGGCTAGATAGGTTCGAACTGTCAACCTTTCACTTAGCTCTCAAGTGCTTAACTACTGTGCCTCTAGGTCTCCTTAACCCTTACATCATATAATAATTATATAATATTATTTATTAATTATTTAACTTAGAGTAAATGTTAGGCTACATGCAGAATGCTAGGTCACATTTGCAAAACCATCCCTCACACATTTACAACCTCAGAGGAGGTCCTATTAAATCCCCTTTTCCAAAAGGATTTCCCCATTTGCTGCTCCCTCCACCCATTCTCTCACTTCCCCCTATTGCTTTCTTGCTTCCACAAGATAAGCCCCTCTTTGGCCACCATTAAGAAAGCTGGTTTGGTTGTAGAGATCATGTCTCTGGTGGTCCTTTCTTTATGCCTCATCTAAACCTTTAATGTTGTTGTTGTTATGTGCCGTCGAGTCCCTTGCAACTCATAGCGACCCTATGTACAAGAGTCCTAAACTCTGCTCTGTCCTGTGCCAATCGCACTGTCTCTGAATTCCCATCCTTATTACCCCAGTCACTGAATCAATCCACCTCATAGAGGGCCTTCCCCTTCTGCGCTGTCCCTCCACCCTCCCAAGCATGATGTCCCTCTCCAAGGACTGGTCTCTCCTCACAACATGTCCAAAGTATGTTAGAGCCTCAGAATCCTTGCCTCCAGGGAGCCGCCTGGTTTAACCCTTTCCAGGATAAATCTGTTTGTTTTCCTAGCAGTCCATGGTATTCTCAATACTCTTTTCCAGCGTCACAGCTCAAAGGCATCAATTCTCCTTCTGTCCTCCCTAGTCATTGTCCAACTCTCTGATGCATAACAAGTGATAGCAAAGACCATGGCCTATATCAGACACATCTTAGTCTCCAGAGAGACACCATCGCTCTTCAGTACTTTGGAGAGGTCCCTAACAGCAGACTTTCCCATGGCAATACATCTTTTAATTTCCTGGCTAATGGTGCCAAGGGTGTTGATTGTGGAGCCAAGCAAACTAAAGCTATGAACAATCTCAATCTCTTCACCATCCATCCAATTGGTGCCAATTGGTCCAGTGCTGAGAATCTTTGTCTTCTTGACACTGAGCCTCAATCTATATTGGAGGCTGCAATCCTTGACCCTCTGCAGCATGTACTTCAGGTCCTCCTCAGTTTCAGTAAGCAGGATTGTGTCATCTACATAAGGCAGATTGTTGATAGATCTTCCAACAGTCCTGACACCACATTTCTCCTCATAGAGTCCAGCTTCTCGGATAATCTGTTCTGCATACAGGTTGAAAAGGTATGGAGACAGGACACAACCCTGGCATACACCCTTCCCAATTTTGAACCATGCAGTGTTTCCCTGCTCTGTTCTGACAACTGCCTCTTGGTCCAAGTATAGGTTTCACATTAGAACAATCAAGTGTTCTGGGATTCCCATTCTTTTCAGAATCAGCCACAGTTTGTTATGATCCACGCAGTCAAACACCTTTACATAGTCAATGAAACACAGATATACATTTCTCTGGTATTCCCTGCTTTTAGCTAAGATCCTTCTCACATTAGCTACAATATCCCTAGTACCACGACCCCTTCTAATCCCATCCTGGATTTCTGGCAGTTCTCTGCTTTTAATTAATATGGGGAGCTTTGATTGGCTGAGTGGTTAGGGTTATGTTGATGACTCAAAGGCAGGTGGTTCAAAACCACCAGCTGCTCCATGGAAGAAAGATGAGCAGTCTCCTCCCATGCAATTTATAGCCTCTGAAAATCTGCTGGAGGGTCAGCTATGAGTTAATTCTGACTTAAAAGCAAATAGCTAAGATAAGAATAATTATTATAATGAACTTAGAGTAATTTTCCCCTTGTAATAATCCTTGACATCAAGTCAATTCCAATCCATAGCAGCCTTGTCAGACAAAATAGAACTGTTCCATAGGGTTTTCAAGACTGTAAATCTTTACCACAACATACTTTTGGTATCATTTTCCTATGAGTTAATGGAAGGCTCAAACAAGTATCTTCTCAATTAGCAGCCTAGAACTTAAACACTGGATACATTTTTATGCTTGGTGAAAATTAAGACTGTCTTTTAAGTAATCGTGCAAGCAAAATTCTGTTGAAGATTATTCAGAAATGACTGGAACCCTACATTGACAGAGAACTACCTGAAATATAAACTGGGTCGTGGCACTAGACAAATTATCATCAATGTCAGATGAATCTTGGCAGAAAGCAAAGAGTACTAGAGGAATGTCTATCTGTGTTGCATTAACTATACAAAGGCATTTGACTGTGTGGATCACAACAATTGTGGTTAACTTCGAGAAGAATGGGAATCCCAGAGCACTTGATTGTGCTTACTTGGACCAGGAAGCAGTCTTCCAAACAGAGCAGGGAAACACTTCATGGTTCAAAATCAGAAAGGGAGTGTGTCAGTGATGCACCCTGTCTCCATATCTTTTTCATTTATATGTAAAACAGATCATTTAAGAGGCTAGGCTATGAGGATGAATGTAGCATCAGGAATAGAGGAAGACTCATCAACTACCTACTTTATGCAGATGACACACATTGCTTGTTGAAACTGAGGAGGACCTGAAGCACTTGTTGCAGAAGGTTAAGGACTGTAGTCTTCAATATGAGTTGAAGCTTAACTTCAAGAAGACAAAGATTCTCACCATTTGACCAATTTTTTTTTCTATATTTTATTAATTTTCATAAACATTTACAGAGATTTTGGGTTTCCATTCATTCATTGTTGCACTATTCTCTCTACCCTCCTCCCAGTTTGTTCTTGTCCAAATGCCACAGTGCTTGTCAAAGCCAGTTCTGATTAATCTTCTTTGTCAGTGTGTCCTTTGCCATTCCCTATCACTCCTCCCTGAGAGAGACTTCACCCTGAGTCATAAGGAAAAGGGGATGGTGTATTCTCTTAGCTACTTCCTGCTGAAAAGGGACGCTGTGGGTTTCAGGGTGAAGATCTTCTCTCACTACTCTAAAGGGCCCCTTTGGCAGTAGGAAACACATAGACTATTATGGAGATTGATTTTGGAATTTAGATGCACTCTTATTGATTGTGCTTGGCCGTACATGTTCATATCCTTGAAGATGTATCATGGGGGTGTTGCAACCTAGAAGACACAAATTTGACTAACAAGTTATAAGTACATGAGTCCAAAAATTACCATCTCACATACTTTGGACATGTATCCAGGAGGGACCGATCTTAGAGAAGGATATCATGCTTCAAAGGGTGAAGGGACAGTGCAGGAGAGAAAGACCCAGATGAATTGGACTGATACAATAATTAGAGCCATGGGCATAGGTGTGTCAAAGTAAGTGAGACTGGCTCAGGACAGACAGGCTTCAGAGCTGATAAATAAAGGATTACTATGAGTCACAGGTGACTCGATGGCTCATAACTACTCTGGTATGTTACAATTCATAGAAATTTCTAAATATAACTGTATTTTCTCTAGCCTGTATAGGAAATGAATTATATACAGCCTTGCATTAGCAAAAGGGACAAAACAAAGACAATCATTATAATGTCTAAGCTCTCTGTAAACAGATCAGTGCTGAATAATATTTTCAATTACATTAGATCATGTACCCTATTGTTGAAAGTAAATAGTCTCTTTATTACAAATAAGTGGAATAGGGTCACCGTGCTAGTGGCAGATATACTTCTCTGTTGCCAAAAGGCCAAGCAATCACATTGTTGCGTGTCTCCCCCCATGCTGTTCATATTAATATAGCTCTGTTCTCATCAGTTCTGGCTTTTGTAATAAGTGTTTCCTCTCTCTGGCTTGTTTCCCAGACAGCTATATAGTGGTTTAAGTTAAGTGCTTCCCATACTTGGCCTAAGTCTTTCCCTGAATGATCAACTCACTGATCTAGAAATGATCAAACCAATTCAGATTCTAAACTCGGAGGATTACCTGTCTTCTCCAAATGACTCTAGCAAGGCAGCTTTCTTTTCTATTTGTATTATTTTATTTTCTTTAACAGACATAACCTTATTTCAGTTCAGGAAAACAAAATATCATTTGGCAGGCTGCTCAAAAATAGCTTTCTAACAACCTGGACCTGAGGGAAGATAGTTCTTACTCAGTTGATCACATTGTATTTGCAAATTTTAAACAACAGTGAACAGTTGAATATTTTTGCCATGTGGGAAATTCATGAGAGAGAGGGAAGAAAAAAAATTCCTCATAACAATGTGCAGACTTAGAATTAACACAGTGGCTATATTAAGGAATTGAAAATAACTTAAATGGAAACAGTGTGAATTGTATTTTTTTTTTAACATGTTAACTCATGTATCAGTCCTTTGATTAGGGTCCCAAAGCTGTTCACAGTTTTTAAATCTTTGCTTTGTTTTAACTGCAGAACTCCCAAGGACCCAGACTGATTATGAAAACAGCCTAACCATGAAGATGTTCTTATTCCAGTTTGTCAACTACTACTCGTCGTGTTTCTACATTGCGTTCTTTAAGGGCAAATTTGTGGGTTATCCGGGAGACCCAGTCTATTGGCTGGGGAAGTACAGAAATGAAGAGGTGCGAATGCAGAATTTATTCTCTTGATAATTTAAGCTACTTCATGAATAGTTTCTTTGCTAACTGCTTTCTAGCCCGAGCAGATCAAATATTATCAGAAAACTATACAATTAATGTATTTGTTATAAGGTCGATCCATCTGAAATTTAAATCGGATTTTCTTTTTAAAATTCTAGTGTGATCCAGGTGGCTGTCTCCTTGAACTGACAACTCAGCTGATAATAATCATGGGTGGTAAAGCAATCTGGAATAACATACAAGAAGTGTTACTCCCGTGAGTACCAACTTGTGTAACCTTGGGAGAACAGGCGTAGGGTCAAAACATCCCACATGTCCAAAGTGTTTGCCGGGGTATTCGTGGGGCTAAAAACACAACTCAAAACTAGATGCATAAGTATAATTACTAAAGGATTCCACACAAGATGGTTCAACCAAAATGATAAACATAGTCAGTGTTTAAAGACTACTCTTAAAAATCCAACAAAACTCTTCTGTATACTTAAATCTCTGTTTAGTAAGGGGGGGGGGGGGGAACAGCTTTCCAACAGATTGACCCTGACTCATGGTCATCCCATGTATGTCAGAGTAGACCCTCATTCATTGTTTTCAATGATTGATTTCAATGGACGTGGACAAGTCCTGACCCTTCTTCTGAGGCACAGCTGTGTGGACTCAGACCCCCAACTTTCCACCTAGTAGATGAAGGTACGAGCCATTTGCACTTCCCACAACTCTCAGCTGCTATACATTTCACATCCATTAAGCTGACATTGGTGACCATGAACCAATTGCCACAAGTTCTCACCAGCTGTTTTCTCCTTTTGCATTATGCATCTAAAAACCAGTCGTAGACGTTTGATGAGCTCCTAGTATTTGGCACTTACTAAGGGTAAGCTTTGATGGGATAGTCTGGAGAGTTGTGCTGCTACCCCAAACCAGCAGCTCTGCTTGAGAAAAATGGGCAATACTCTCCCTGCAAGTTAGAGCCTCTTGAAAACTTGCTGGCACGCCAGCTGTGAATTTGTTCCAATTCAATGGGAACGAGTGACCCATGTTACATCACCAATAAGCAGCTACTATGGGATTTTGATTTAGAACTGCATGACGCCATACCCATGTACTGTCAAGGCGTGGTATGCCCCATGTTTTCAGAGAGGAGTATCTAAAATAAGGAGTTGCATCAAGTCAGAACCAACTCAATGGCACCTAATAACAACAAAAATGTTGTAATTCAAATTAATTCAATATTTTGCAAAATAATTTGTTGTCAGGATTCATATTATCTAAGAAATATTACACTATTAAGTTATTTGTAACTATGTCACATTATTTTATGATTAAGATTGAACATTAAAAACAAGGAGTTCTAAAGGTGGGAGTGTAAAGTGTTCAACTGCTATTCAAGAGATTGACAGTTTGAACCTCCCAACCACTCCGCAGATGTGACAGTATGCCTCTGTAAAGATTTGCAGCCTTGGACATCGTATGGGGCAGTTCTCCTCTATCCTGGAGGGTCCTTGTAGGTCTTAATAAACTTAACAGTGATTTTGGTTTGTTTGGTCTGTAACAATGGACTTGAGCATGTCAGAGATTGAGAATGGTGCAGGATAGGGCAGGGTTCCAATCTCCTGAAATCCTTGAGTTCAGTTGTAATAGAAAAGATCTGAGTAGAGAGGAACATGTATACTTACTGTCCTTCTAGGTGCCTGCATCAGAGAGAGGATGAGCAGGGAAATGTGTGAGACGGTCCCTTTTCTGTTCACAAGACGTTGCATTAGTGTCTTGTGTGATCAGTGCGTGAATGCCTGCATCTCTGCCTTTCAGGATATCTGCTTCCTCTGTTCTGACTTGGGTTCATTGGGTCATTGTGAGTTGTAGTCGACTCAGTGGCACCTGACAATAGAAATTCATTGCCGTTGATTGGAAACTGACCCACAGCTGACCTTCCAATGTATTTTCAGAAGCTGTAAATTGCATTGAAGGAGATTGCCCATCTTTCTCCTGCTGAGCAGATTGGACCACCTACCTCTAGGTTGGCAGCACAACTCTTTACCCACTGGTCAATAACAGCTAAAATAACAACAACAAAAAAACCCCAATAACTTGATCTACTATTCCCTGCCCTTTAAAGATGAGAACGACACAGTATAGTTGTAATTTAAGTGCTACTTATATAATTCAGGTATTATCATAAACTGCTTAAAAGCTGTTGTCTTGTTTTGTTGCATACAATAGAGTCAGAACTGATTCATAGCTGACACTCCAGCAGATTTTCAGAGATAGTTAATCGCACTGGAAGAGATTACGTACCTTTCTCCCACTGAGCAGCTGGTGGATTCGAACTGCATGTCTTCAGGATTGCAGTGCAGTTTCTTGTCATTAGGCCACCAGAGCTCAATTTAAAACTATGGACCACTATTATTTTAAGTTTTTACTTATGCCCCCATTCCATACTAAAATGCAAAGTTCAGTGCCGTCACACAATTTCTAAAAATTTGAAAGGTTTTACTGCATTAGGTTTTTATCCTTGATGTATCACTAACAATGGCTTCAAACAGTACAATTTATCGTTTTATATTCCTTCAGGTCAGGCCCCCAACAAGGGTCTCACTCAGCTAAAATCAAGTAGTCAGTCAGCACTGCATTCTCTGTGGTAAACTCTGGAGAGAATGTTTCCTGGCCTTTCCAGCTTCTGGAGAGAGCCCACATTCCTTGGCTCTGGGTCCCTTTATTCACCTGAAAGCTGGGAACGTTGCATCTCTGACTTCTCTGTGGCTTTCCAATTTTTATGTCAAGTCAGTTGATTAGCAACCATTCTTCTACCTAGAGTCTGGATTCCCTTCAGCATGTCTAACGTATTCACAGGTTCCAGAAATTAGAGCAGGGGCATCTTTAAATGATCATGTTTTGTTTGCTTCCCTAACCTTTTCCAGATTATTCCCAACTTTCTGAGTTTCTGCTGTGATAACACTTTTGAGCTTCCTCAGTTTTGCCTCTATCCTCTGTGTTCCTTTGTGCTCATGTTCCGCAAGTGGAGAGAGGAGCCCCTCTCCCTAGTGTCTGTCAAAACTGCTCAATTCACGTATGCGTTACTGCAGGTTAGGGCATGTGGATCGTAGCTCAACTTAAATTCCCAGATGTTCTAAAAGAAAATTCTTTAGTTTATGATTAAATATTTTATTTACTATTCAATTAGGATTTTCTTCTTTTTTACTCCCTGTGTATAAAATCCAGCCTCTTGATTTTTTTTTTTTTTTTGGTCACATATTCTCTTCCCCACCTTCCCCTTCCCCAGACCTCCCTTCTTTCTCCTTCCTCCTAATGGTTCTTCTTTCTGGCTCCATCATGGGTTTCTGTCTTCTGCAAGCACCCTCATCTTCAACATGAGCAATTTGTGTTCTGTGTTTCTAAAAAAGATAAGCTCTAAACAAAGATTATATTGAGAGCTTGTTGTTTTGTGCCATAGAGTTGGAACTGACCCATAGTTTACCACCCAGCAGGCTTTCAGAGGCAATTAATCGGACAGGAGGAGATTGCCCATCCTTCTCCCACGGAGCAGCCAGTGGCCTCCAACCATAAGCCTTCAGGATGGCAGTGCAGCTTCTTGCCACTAGACCACTAGAAAAAAAAAAAAAAAAAAAAAAAAAAAAAAAATATATATATATATATATATATATATATAAAATGTAGTTTGATAACTAATTGGTTATTGGTGATCTATTTTCTGATTTAAAAAATTAGAAAAGTATATTTCCTAACTTTGCATTATAAAATGAAATTTGCTTGTTTTAAACTAAAAGGTGCAATATTGTGTCCTTAGAGTGGCATCCACTCCCTAAACAACATGCCTCTGGAAACTCTATTAATTTGGATAAATGTCAATAGTTGTAGAGGGACTTCAGGCCTTTAGTTCATAGGGTCACTATGAGTCATGCTCGACTTGAAGGCAATTAATAACAATGACATCTGTTTATACATACAGTTTTAGTAAGTCCATTATTAAAGTTGTTAAAAGAGTTGTTGTCTTGGAAAAAGGACATTATGCTTGAAAAGGTGAAGGGTCAGCAAAAGAGAGGAAGTCCCTTAACAAAATGAATCAAAACAGTTACTATAACAATGATGGCAAGGAATATGAAACCATGGGAGCCTTTAGTGGAAGTACCTCACGCCAGTCAATGGAAATGGCCAATATAACCACCATTAAATGTGGCTTGGGGGGTTGGTTGGAAAGTGATGGAATTAAATGTTCTGCTATAAACCCAGACAACCAAACGTTGGGCATGAGTACATAAAAAATTATGAGAATGGCATAAAATAGGGCAAGAATCAGACCCATTTTTCACAGGATTGCTATAATTCATAATCAGCTTGATGGCACTAACAAAACAACAATAAAGTGATCTGAACTTTGCATTCAGATATTTTCTACCGTAGACCTTTGACTGTGTTGCTATATAAAGATTTGGAAATCCTCTGGGTATTTATGAGTCTATATTTATATATAGACTCTACAATAGTGAAGTTGGTTTGCTTTATATGTAACAATGGAGTTGTGCATGCCAAAACTTGTGTAAAAGGTGCAGAATTTAGGAAGGTTCCAGTCTATTGAAGTCTCACCAACAACCTGCATTATGCTGATGACCCACCCTTGCTTGCTGAAACCGAGGAGGACTTGAAACACTGCAGAAGATCAAAGACTGTTGCCTTCAACATCAAAGATTAAAAAAATCCTCCCCACTGGACCAATAAGCAACATTGTGATAGATGGAGAAAAAGATTGAAATTGTCAACACTTTCATTTTACTTGACCCCAAAATCAACCCATGGTACCAGCGGTTCGGAGATCAGGAGACATAATGCTTTGGGCAAGTCCATTGTCAGAGACCTCTCCAAATTACTTAGGAGCAATAATGTCTGTTTGGAGACTAATGTGTGTCTGATTCAGGCCATGGTGTTTTTAATCACTTACTATGCATCTGAGAGCTGAACAGTGAATAAGGATGAAAGAAGAAGAATTGATGCCTTTGAGTTGTGGTGTATTCCGCAGACTGCCAAAAGAAAAAACAAATAAGTCTTGGAAAAGATGCAACCAGAGTTCTTTTTGGAGACAAGAATAGTAAGGCTTCATCTCACATTCTTAGGTCATGTTGCTCGGAGCAGCTGTTTCTTGGAAAAGGACATCATACTTGGAAAAGTGGAGGGTCAGCGAAAGAGAGGAAGTTCCTCAGTGAGATGGATTGACACAGTAGCTATAGCAAGATTGTGAGAGCTGGT